GAAAAATATAACATCATAAAACTACTCAAATAGGAACATAATTTTTGGTTAAATTTTTTACTTAAATTGTTAAATAAATTATTAACTGTTAAATAAGAAATTTACTTAAATTGTTAATTAAATTTTTTACTTAAATCATTAAGTAAATTAATCGTTAGTCAAGAAGTTTAAAAACACCTCTTCTCCCTAAAAATAAATAAATAAATAAATAAATAATAAAAAAATTTAAAAAGACTAAAATAAAACAACCCATTAAACCCAGAAGATTTTTTTCCAGTAGGACCCAAACTTCAAAGAACAGATAATTGTTACCTTAAACAACATGTTCCAGTGAATATAAAGTAAGGGAACACTGCCCACCTCATTCTATGAAGTAAAATAATTTTGATGACAAAATCAGATAAGGACAGAACAAGAAAGTAACAATGAAAGGCCAATTTCACTTCTAACTGGAGATGCAAAAAATCCTAAATTAATCATTAGTCAACTAAATCCAGAAATGCCTATTAAAAGCACATCACCACCCAGTTGGAGTCATCCTAGAAATGCAAGGATGGTTAAAATTAGGAAGCAAACTAGAGAGATTTACCATATTCACTGGTGAAAGGAGAAAACCATTTGACCATATCAACAAATGTAGAACAACTCTTGATAATAGTCAGCATTGTTTCATAATTAATACTAATAGCAAACTAAAAGCAGAAAGTACCTTTCTTAGTAAGTAGCAGCTACTGAAATTATAGCAATTAAAAAATTATATAGCAAAAATCATATGTAACTGTAAAATGTTAAAAACATTCATTTTCAGATCAGAAACACAATGATTTATTAATGATGCTTTTCACTAGTGCAATAAGACAAGAAATAAAAATTATAAGAATTATAAAAGAAAAATGTAAGAAATACAATCTAAGGACCTTATATGTATATATGCATGGCCCATGGCTACAGACAATGAGGCAGTGAGGGCCTGGGGAGGGGGGCGGGCTGGGAGGTTCAATGGGGGAGGAAAAGGGGACAAATGTAATACTTTTAACAATAAAGAATTATTTAAAAAAGAAAGATTACTTTAATATGGTTTCCAACTCATACAAAAATAAAAAGAAATATAAACTACTAGAAATAAGGGTTTATCAGGGTTGTTGAATGCAAAAACAAATATGTAAAACCAATAACATTGCTATTCACCAGCAACATAAATTATAAAATGTAATTTTTAAAATAGGATATATTTTTCAATGGCAACAACATATAAAGTGCCTAGAAATAAATATAACAAAAGATGCACAAAATTTTTACCAATATTACATAGTAATAGACAAACATATAAATTGACTTTACCTCTGCTACACCCACAGCCAATCAGGACTGAGTATGCAAATTAACCAGGCAAAGATGGTGGGTTAATTTGCATATACAGGTGCAGAGGTGCAGGGAGGGGCTGGACGCCTGCTATGAGGAGGAGGGGGAGGTGGTAGAGGGAGCTATAGGAGTGGTGCTCCGCCGGGAGGGAGGACAGTCAGGCTCCTGGGCGGCTGGGAGTGAAGCCAGGGGAAGGAAGGCCTGTTCTTGAGTGAATATTGTGCAAGAGGCCTCTAGTGAAATTATAAAACTTCATTGAAGAACATAGTAGAATGCCTAAATAGATGGAAATATAAACCATATTTATTGATGGGAAGATTCAGTTTGTAGCAACAGCAGTTTCCACTGAAATATCAGTCTAATAATTTCAGTATCCTATATAATAAAAGCTTAGCAATCATAACAGTGTAATGAGCAGAACGATTGCTCGACCAGTCGCTATGAGGTGTGTTGACCATCTTTTGGTCCCTCCCTCTGGCCCACAGGCTCCAATTGCCAGATGGCAAATGGTGAACTGGGGTGGTTTGGATTGGGGCGGGACTGGGGACTGGTGAGCAGGCGGAAGATGACTCTGATAGCAGGCTAGGCCTGAGGGCATTACCCATGCATGATTTTGTATGCTGGGCCTCTAGTAATTAGAATAAAAATTCCAGGAAGATACATTTCAGAGTTTGACAAAATCATTCTTAAATTCATACAGAAGATTAAAGCATGAAGCATAGCTAAAACTCTTTAAAAGAGGAAACAAAAGATGTGTATGTAGTGGGGGAAACTTATTCCAACAGATAACAGTACTTTCTTTTAAAAAAATAGTGTGGTATTGGCCCAGAGTGACAATTAGGCAAATGGAATAGCTCAGGGTCTAAAATTGAACTCATTCATATCTTACAGTCATGGCATTTAAATGATGGGGAGAGACTAGCCTCAATGATGATGAAGCTATGCTTTCCTTACAATAGCAACCACTTTCCACTGACCCCACCACCATTCTGGGAACTCCTACCTGTGCTGGACTCCATGCCACACACATCAGGCACAATTCCTAATGCTTTTGCCACACCGCTATCATCGCATGACAGACGGAGTCTTTCCGCTCTGTAACCGTGATCACGGTTCTATACCAATGAGGTTAAGGATTTCGGATTTTAGAAGCCTCTCTGTGTGATGGAGAGAGGGTCCTGAGTTGCCCCAACAGAATGCAGGACTTCGGTGGATTTCCGCAGACACAATCCTGAGCGGTCCTTAGAGCAAACGCTTCCTGAATGAAGGCAGTGCTGCGTTCCCTCCTCTGCCATGGTAGACGGCTGGGTTTGATCCGCATAAGCCAATCCAGCTCTATTGCCAGCAATGTCACTTGGGCAGAGAAGGCGTTGACATTTCATTTCCAAACTCACAGAAGCACAAAGAGAGTCCTTTCAGCTCCTCCGAGGGAGTGCAGCCAATTCATGTGCAACATTCCCTTGTTTCTGAGTCTTTCTGGCTTCCTCTTGTAAGATGACTGTCAGCCATCGAAACTTCATCTCCTCCCACTTTTTCATCTGTTTCAGCTGTACTGGGCAAGTCCCTAGGTTTCATACTGGAGTCCCGTCTCTCCCATTAGCCACTTACGGGTTATATAAAATGGGATATGAGTAATATCTCCCTGTGTATAAAGGAACAAAAGCTAATGAGTGAAAAAGAACCAGTGGAGGGGGGGAAAGGAAGTGTGATGAGATTACGTTAAAAATTTAAAGTTATCTTGCTAGGAGTTTTAAAACAAATGCCACTACAAGTAGCAGTATATGCCAGCAGTCCACCAACACTAAGTGCTTCTTAACCTTGTTTTTTGAATACCCTCCACCCTATTTTAAAACAAAAAGTTAGCATGGTTATAAAGCAAAAGTCAAGTTATATAATAAATTATAAAGAGAAAAAAGTGAAATAAAATCATTACCCACTTAAAAATAATCACTGGCTTAGGTGAATATCCTTCTGGACTTTTTTTTTTTTTTTTTTTTTTAACTGATAAAGGATAGAAAATATTTTTATAAATAGACTTATTTCATTTATCACGTTTATTTCCAATCACATTGATTTGTAAAAAATAGCATTTTTTTGGCTTGTATTTAAGACAAAAAAATAAACTGAAGCAATTACTAAACTTTAAATATTTCTTTATCCCAATGGGAATTTATTTAAAAATCCATTCAAATTTTTTTTTTTTTAATTACCAAAAATTTTCCTGGCTAGTGTGACTCAGTTGTTTAGCATTTGACCTATAAACTAGAAGGTCATGGTTCAATTTCTGGTCAAGGCACGTGCCTGGGTTTCAGGCTCAATTTCCAATAGGAGGTGTGTAGGAGGCAGCCCATCAATGATTCTCTCTCATCATTGATGTTTCTCTCTCTCTCTCTCTCTTCTCAATAAATGTGTTTTTTTTTTTAATTACCAAAAAATTAAAGTTTGCTTTTTTTGTCTAGACAATATCAACTGTCTGCTATAAACATGAGATTGGCACTAGTATAACCTCCATTCCTCCACTTCCAACTTATGTCATATTATTAAGGTTTATAATATTTGCAATATGTATCTATACTATGATTTTGGTCTTAGTTCTTTATATAAATTCAATGCCTCTGCCAGTTATTTTACTATGAGCTTCTCCATTATAGAGTTATTGATTTCATCTCTCCTATTAAATGGTTTCTTAAGAGTACCTGATGTTATTTTTGACAACCTGGCCACCAATAATATCCTTGTCACTTTTTTCCTACTCAAGAGTTTTAGATACATCTCTCCATTTCTCCGGACTCTGACTCTATGAAAGTTTCAGACCCTGAGTGGTGAAGAATTCTTCTAGTTCATTACCTTTTCAGGAAATGTTTTAGTGGCAAGTACTTACTCAGAGAGTTCCTAGAACATAGGGCACTTTTTCAATCTGTAGGTTCATTTCAGGAAGCTTTATCTCAGAAGCTTTTCTGTATTATTTCTTTCAATACTTCTTTAGTTCCTTCCTTTTTCGGGGGTGTATGTTAAAATATCTTTGTCTTCTTACAATTATCCACTCAGAGGAAGGATTAGATAGAGCTACCCAATTCTCCAAACAACTTCTTCCCAAAACCTGTGGTTTTTCTTAAAAAAATATTTTTATTGATTTTAGAGAGGAATGGAAAGGGAGAGACAGAAAGAGAGAGAATCACTGATCAGCTGCCTCCTGCACCCGCCCCTCCCCCCCCCCCCCCAACACACACACACTGGGATCAAGGCTGCAACCCAGGCCTGTGCCCTTGACCAGAACTGAACCTGGGACCCTTCGGTCCACAGGCTGACGCTCTATCCACTGAGCCAAACTGGCTAGGACCAAAACTTATGATTTTCATGAGAATTCTGAATTTTGCATATTCCCCCAATGCAGGCAAGATTGGGAGCTCTTTGCATTCTTGCTGGAAAATCTGGTCTTTTTCTTTGGTGATTATCTTTTGAAGTTTAAAGAAAACAGTGGCTCCTTGCTTTGCTTCATTGCTGGTGAGTTTAAGTGTTTCTTATTTTTAACTTGTAATTTATTTTGATAGTTATTTTAGGGGAAGGAGGTTTTGTGATCTGGCGTTATTTACGCTAAGAAACCACACAAAAATCTTCAAGAGACGCAATTGATAAAATACTTTGAAAATAACTTTATTATAACTAACGAATATAAAATCTGACAGATGTTTTTAAACATTTTTGCAAAAAAAGTAAAACCCTCTCTTGTTCTGCTCTCCGCCCCCGACCCCCAACAAGATACAGAATAAGAACTTGGACAGAGTTTTACATGAAACAATAAACATGACATCTTCATTCATTGGTTGGTCCTAAAAAGGCTCCAACATATTATATTCTAAATAGAGGTCCATCAAAATTAAGAAATCAACAAGCCACTTGACATTTGTTTTCTACTCTCATTATGATGCTCAGTCAAAACGTTGAAGGACAAGAACTGGAAACAAAGACTGCGTAGGACAGATATTCAAAGTGCATGGATCTATGAGACCACAAACATTTGAGATAAGAATACTGGGGGTGGAATTAAACACTGACTTAAAAAAATCAATCCAAGGAAACCTATGTACATGACAGCCTTTGGCATCTGGTCGAACGTGTTCTTTATAGAGATATCATTTTGTCTCATCTATTCACCAGATTAAAGTGACCTTAACACATGTCTCATCTGACACAGATTGTCACAGCCAATTTCACATGAGGTAGTTGGGCTGTTTACTGACATTCTAGTGAAATTGTCTTGACTCAGGAGACTCATACATCAAATATGCCATGTGACTGGCTCATTAGCCTTCTGGGAAGCAACAGAATTACTTCTAGATCACCTTTCCTGTCATCACTGACTCCATGCATCTACCGGAGTCCATGCGGATGAGACCAGCTTTGCAAAAGACCAACCATCCCCGGTGGTTCTGTTTATGAGGTGCGGGGAGGAAACACCACGCTTTAAAATGTGTGTAAGAAAAAGGGAGTGCTTGCAACAAGCAGCCCCTCTTTCTTGGGTTCTCACCTAGCTTAGCTGGAAGCATTTGTTCCCTCTGGAGGAGAAGTGATTCAAAAGGGTAACCAAAGAACGTTTGCATCACAGGTCATGGTACATGTTCTCCTTTCAGTGAAAGGTTAAGAACAGCAGAGGAGCGAGGTCAACGCCAGCGTCAACTGGACCGTCAGCAGCGCTCGGTCATGCCTGGGGGCCCTGGCGCAGCAGCGAGGAGAAGCCATGCGGGCGGCTCTGGTTGCACGGATGCAGGGGGAGCGGACGGGACGGTCTAGAGAGCAGGATGCACATGGAGCTCTGAAAGGAAGTGCTCACAACAAGCAGCCCCTCCATTCTGAGGGCTCTTCCATTCTGAGCCCTCCCGAGCAGCCTTGTGACAGAGAAGCAGTCTCACAACACCATCAGACAGCTAGTGGCTATTCCATGTCATTACTGTGAGCCCCTGAGTAGGCAACTGCAGACCACAAAGGGACCCTGGAGCAGGACGCATGTCTAAGGAAAGCCCTCTGTCCACAGCCTACAGGACACGGGTGTGCTGCACACACTGACGTCTGCGTACGGACCGCATCCGATCAAGGGCAACGGCGCTAGGTCCCCAGACCAAACACATCAGCTCAGCTGAGAGAACAATGGCTTAAAATATGCTTTACTTCTAAATCTAAAAGTATAAAAAAGGTGACAGCTCACCTTAGAAAGAAATGAAACAGGAGGGGTGGGGGGAGCTGAGGATTGTAAAACCCATGACTACAATCAGAAACAACTGGTTTTAATCAGTGATTCAGAAATGCACCATTGTGTAACCAACTTCTTGTAGGACATGGTAGTTGAGTAGAAAAAACAAAAAACAAAAAAACAAAACAAAACAAGTTTTCCTTCAAAGGTTTCCTGCCCAGGACCCCTGGCGCCCTCTCTGGCCTCACTGGTGCCTGAGATGCTCAGTCGGGTTAAGTTTCCTTAGTAAAATGCCCTCGACCCCGCTCTTGTACTAGTTCCACACCGAATAAAGAAGCGGGCACTTTATCTACTGGTCCCCACCACAAATTTTAAAAGTTAAAACCACTTTTCTGGAAACAGGAAGGTGAAAGCATTCACTCTGTGGATGTACGCACACTGGAAGGGGAAGGCGGACTTCCCGAGCTGCACTCCTCCAATTCCACATCCCCTTTCTGGGAGGCTCGCAGCCGGGGTGCCCTGCTTCGCGGGACCTGGGGACGAGGGTTCTGAGGGAGCCCTTGCAGTCTGGGAGGGCGTGCAGTCCTGCTGATGTGGCACCTAAGCCTGGTGAGGTGGCTGCCAGGGGTGCTGCTGGGGGAGGGGCAGAGCAGCTCAGGGGTGGGGTGGGGCGGATGCTCCGATGGGGGCAGATGAGGGCAGTGCGGGCAAGTGTGAGGAAGGAGGCCGCCCGACCACCTGGGGCTCAGCTGCCCCTCACCTCGGAACAGGCATTGGGGAGCTTTGAGTTCAGAGTGGCCGTAAACAATGGCAAGCTGCCTCAAGCCACTACCTACAGCTCCTGATGGGCAGCACACAGCCTTTCCAAGTCCCGGGCAGCCCCACTTCTGACCGCCCTGCAGAGCTGATGAGAAAACTCTCCACCTCCCTGTCACTCACCAGTGGGGTTCGCCCCCCAAAGGGCACCCCTCCAACTTAATTTTCACAGGATTCGCTACAAAATGTCAAGTGTGCTTTCAAAGGACAAAGCAGCTGTCACTGATTAGGATTCTGAGCCCTCCCGAGCTGTGGGACAGGCGCGGACAGGATGCGATGGTGTATGGAATGCCGGGGAAGGGCCCAGCCTGGTGCACACTGCCTTCCCCTGCAGGATCGCTCTACGGTTCCTCTGGAGAAGGGACCTCAGTGTTTGAGCCACGAGAGCGAGGTGACTGCTCTGCGGCAAACACGGCGCTCTGCTCTCTCTTCTTGCCGGCAGGTGGAGGGAAGCTTCGGTGTCCCGGAGTCCGGCAGGATTACGGGGGAAAGCCTTCACTACCTTTTCTCTGCCCCCTCCTGAGACGGTAACTGCGAAGTAGCGCACATTAGGACTTGGACCAAGATGGGGCGCAGAGCTGTGGGTCCGGGAGGAAGTGCCACGGTGCCCAGCTGTAGGGCAGGTGAGCTATGGCCTGGCACCGGGCTAACTCCTGGCTCTTTACTGAAGGACTCTCAGAGCGTCACATGTCTTAGGCAGCTTAGGTGCTCCAGTCAAAAGACATCACCCTCCTATGGAGCCGGGACAGGGTGAGCAGCAAACGGAGCTTACGTACCCGTTATCCTACTGGATCCCCAGTGAGCCAGGTCATACTAAACGCTCTTCCCCAGAAGACTGAGGCTGTCCACCACGTACCTACACCACAGGAACGGTTCTGTGAATTCACAGCTTCGTGGGCAAATCTGAGGTATGTTTGACTCCCCCACCTCGGGAGTCCGCCCAGTGGGAGCGCGGCGGGCGGCTGGACGGACATGTCACCGCGCTCACAGCAGCCTCTCCCGGGCACAAGGCCCACAGCGTCTCCATCCGAGGTGCGAGCAAAGCCTGGCTGCTGTCTCTTTGCCTTTTAGGGGCGATGTCAAGGGCAGGACCCCTGGTCCCTGTCATTGTCACACCGGCCCGACAGGGAGACCCACAGTTCCTCGTGGGCGGGGGAACAACATATCCCGCCCCTACCAGGTAAGTCCAACAGGAAGGCCTCGCAGCACCGTTTCCGCCCAGCCTGAAACGCCTGATGGCGCTTTTCTGAGCGGGAGCCTTTCCCAGAGGTCCTCATGCACAGAGCACCTGCTCCACCACCGAGAGAAATCAACGCCCATCTGTCCCGAGACAGCGAGGGCCAATCCGCCCTCCCCCACGCACCTCCCTGAGGAGGGTGCTCTGCCCTTGCACAGGGCAGTCCCAGGACCACGCTTTCCAGGGCAGCGCCCACACAAGGTTGTCTTGCCAGTCCCCGAGCTGCGGAGACTGCCGAGCAGCTGCCTTTAGCCTGTGCGATGGGTGGGTAAGCCACGCCTGACCAGCGCGCACCGGGAGCCACTGGCCGGCGGTGCTGCCCGCGTTAGGAAAGCTGTGAGCACGCACGGCACACTCTCACTCCCCCTGTAACTGTCATTTCCACAGAGGCGCCTCCTCTTTGGAAAACAGGAAGACTGGAGACTCTGGAAACTTTTGGCTCTCAGGCCGCTCAGCCTGGGCTGTGCTTTCTGACCGGCCTCCAGGTGACTGACGCAGAGGGGACCCAATCACGCCTGGCATCACCTGGTTCCTGTTAGAGGCTGTGCATGGTGAGCAGAACATCCCTCCACCTCTGACCCCTACTTCTGAAGCTGGGTAACAAGCCGATGTCACCGGGCCACTGTGGGTCCAATGGAGACAGTGTCTGAGGAAGCACGGGAACGAGGGTGGGCACCAGGCAGGAGGACCCCCCCCCCCCCCAGCGTGGGGCACACTCAGCTCTGCAGAGCCTCCCGGGATGGCACTCCTCCGGATGCCGCCCCCAGGCTCCGCACCGTTGCCTACAGAGGCCCTCGCGCCCAGGCCCGGAGAGAAGATGCTCTGAAGAACGTCTGGGACAGCCAACCTCCACCTCAGCTCCCACCGGGGGCCCAGCTCCCCCGAAGCTCCAGTCTAACCCTAAACCGGCTGAAACACCACCCGTGAGTTACAGTCCTTGATGCAGACTTTGCTCATTTTCAGCTTGGGTTGGGTGGCCCATTAAAACTTAAAGCTAAAAACAAAACAAAACAAAATCCAACAAATTTACTTGTCAAATCTGCTCTTATAACTTGCTGTTCAAGTCTCCAGGAGGCCCTTGGAACTGAAATAGATAGCACCTTGATTTTTAAACACACAGAACACATACGCATTAAAAATGACATAGAAAAGCACTGGGCTTTGCCTCCACCTCCCCAGGGCCTGGCGGGAGGGTGGAGAGGGTTGAAGCTGCTGCTGGAAATGAAGTGGGGCGGCCAGAGGCGGCAGCAAGCTCTTCCCTGCGGGGCGGCGCTGTCCCAGGCCGTCACACCACCTCGTCGCTCTCCAGCCCGTGGGCATCGTACAGCGCGTCCAGGATGGCCAGCTGCCTCTCCATGGCGGGCAGGTAGAGGCTCAGGTCCCTCTGCATCCCGGCACTGAAAGCGGCTTTCTGGTGGTCGCCCTCCTTCACGGTTAACGCGGCCACAAAGTCTTCATAGGACGGAGCGGCCCGCAGAGCCAGCTGCAAAAGAACTGCTGTGAGAACGCGCATCACTCTCGCATGCTTTACCCTATGCACGAGCGCATGTGTGAACATGAACACACACACACACACACACACACACACACAGCTGAGGAGTGCAAAACTAACAATAGGAATATACCTTCAAATTCGTGGACTCTAAACTTTTTTTTCAAGAACAAATCAAATACTTTGCAGGCTAGAAGAAGCAGGTGTGTACCTGGGCCATCTTGAGGATGAATACAGCCAGCCAGCCAGCCAGGGAGTGCTGACAGGAAAGTTTAAGAAAAGCTCTGATTTCGTGCCCGGTGTGATCCAGAGGGTCCTCTTGAGCCCTCAGAATCCACCTGTGTGCGCGTTGCTGCCCATCTGTGTCCCCACCTGGCCAGCCTCCCAGAACACCTCACAAGCCTACCTGGCTCTCATCGCCATACCTCCGCTTCCCTGCACCTCCCGTCTCTCCCCAAGCAGACCATATTTCCTTCCCACTCTGGACTGAGTATTCCGTTTGCTTGTGCACTGATGCTCTCGTGCATCCTACCCCCGCTCACCTCTCTAGGAACCTGTACAGTTCGCATCCCTATTTTGCAGTTGAACGTCACATGGCTAATGAGTGCCCGGCCAGGACCTGAGCGTCCAGTCGTCTCTGTTTTCCCAACTGCATTCTCACACCACATCGCTCCCCACAGAAGAGCTCCCCTCCCTTCATCAACCACCTGCTCCCTAAGCTCCCTAAAACCTATCACCTGGCTCGCTGAGATCTCTGGAGACCTTTTAAAATCTTGAATGATCATTCTATATTCTATAGTTTCTTTCTTTAGCGTCCTCACACTCTGAATTTGAAAGCGTTTGGGAATCCACCCTCCCCCTTTGTGCAGCTGGAGAGTGACTGGCATTTCTATCTCAATGACTGCAGCACAGGCCTGCCTGGGTGAAGAAGACCCGGACTTGACCCCAATCTTTCAATTGTTTGAGGAATTTCAGCAAGGTGCTCGACCTTCCAGAACCTCAGTTCCCTGATTTGGAGTAGAGAACTGGTACCATTTTCCTTATTTGAAGGAAATGGAATATGTATGACATACTTAACCCACTGCAGGGCACATATGGAATACTCAAATGGTGGTAGCAGTACCTGGGAGAGAGCAGAGACTGTAGAGAGGGCAATTATCCAAAATTATAAAGTGAGAAAATCCCTCAGAACAGAAGGGTATGAGACTCCAGATTTAAAAACACACCCAAGTGCTGAGTGCAAAGGATGATAAAGTCCAAAAGAGGAACGTGATAAAATTTTAGAATGTGGGATAAAGAGGAAAAGTCCTCAGGCAATACAGCTCAACAGGCCTCAACAACTAACTCAGACTGGAATGAGTTTAAAAAGTTCTGACAGGGAAGTCTCCAAGAAAAAAACACATAATGGCACATTTGTGAGTTCAGAGTGATGATGCTTTGAGAGGTCTGATGGTGCAGGGAAAAATAAAAACATGTAAGAAAGAACAAAAAACAACAACAACAACAACAACAACAAAAAAACCTATAGAATACTGGCTCATTATCATAATGTTAACTTGTGAGTAATTATTTTGGGATGGTGGAGGCAGTGGGGGGAGGTGAGGTAGAGACAGCGAGGTCTAAGACCTAAATTCTAATCTATAACAGAAAGTTGACATTTCGTGACTATGACTGATCAGGCCACAAAGAACAATGGACATTCTTAGAATCCCAGAGATATTAGGAGAAACAGCCTCTTTGGAGTAAGTCTGGGAAGTAGGGAGCCAAAGCAGAGACTGCTATTTTTTGCTGTAACATTTTGTATAAACCTATGCACAAATGTTTTAGTATAATAAGACATTTAAAAAGTTTTCTCGGAGTGGGGCCTGGGGAGTTCCTCAAAGGCTCCTAGAAGATTGTGATGCAGCCAGGTCTATTTGGGAACTAATAATAGAGCTCAACTGAGGGGGAAACCAAAAAGGCCAAGTGATGATGGTGAGTGACCTCGATGGAGGCAGAGCCTGGACTGGGCATCACTCAGTTCTGCAGACCATGTCTGTTTGAAAAGAAAAGCTAACTATTTGGCTGATGAATGAATCAAACTCCTTGACTGTAAAAGATGTTTCAGTCAAATGCTCTTGCCCCTGCTAATGAATCAGCACGTTAGGAAACTCAGTAAACTTTCCAAAGCAGGAATGACTTGGAGAGGCTGAAAGGGCCAATCTGGCTCCTCTATTGAGAAGGCTGTTGCCAAACGCTCGACATAATCTATTTTCTTAAAAACCAGCAACTTTTAAAAGTATTGGCAATAACATCAAGGACCTTCAAAATGTCCTTGGGTATATTATCTTCCTCTTTGTATCTCAGGTTTCTTTGTCTATAAGTAAGGAAAATAAGAGAACCTGCTGAGTTATAAAATTAATAACTTCACAAACATAGAGCTCTTAAAACAATGCTAGTGCATGGTCAATGCTCAAAATTCCAAGTTGTGGTTGTAGCTATTGGCAGTAGACAGAACAATTTTAATTTTAGGAACCTATTTGAGAAAATAAGGTATTTTTTTAAAAGGAAAAAATGCATATGAACAGACACTGTTTTATCTGTATTAAGAAACTTGGAAGCAGCTTAAATTTCCAACACAAAGGACTGGATGAAACGTTGATATTAGGGAAATATTGTACAATCACTAAAAATAATGGTTTTCAAAAACTTATGGCATTAAAAAATGGTCATGATAGAATCTATTATGTGGGGAGAAAGAATACAAAATTACACTGCAAGTTAAAGTAAAAAAATTTACATGCATGTAGAAAGTACAAAATAAAGATAATTATAAACACCTAATATAAACATGTTGGTATAAAATATAAACACTTGTAAGTAGATATGTATTTAGAAATATATAAAATTAAATAGAATATTTAAAAGTATATAAAATACATAAAAATGAAAGTGAGAAAGGTAAATCACAAAAATATTAAAAATGGTTATTATGGAGTGATAAGAATATGGACAAGTTTAATTTTCCTCCCTTCCTATTCTTCCAAAACTTCTACAATGCATTGTGATGCGTCTAAATTACTATATATTCGGGGAAATGCCATAAATTAAAAAGCCCTTTTAAAGACTCATGCTTATGATAAATGTTCTGCTATAGCTGCATTCTTGTCGACAGTATCCCTTCGATCTTTAACATTTCAGGATTTAACCTGACCTCTACACTGAACTCTCCCCCTCCCCCACATTTATGCTTCTTGTACACAGGGCAACTCAATGCTCTAATGCTTTGTCATCTGACAGCATTTACTCAGAGAGACTGATGAATGTAGCAGCATCTGCTGCCTAATTATTCACCAGCAGCTTCTCGATTCTTCTGTGCTCACTGCGGAGACTGTGTGGGGAGTGAGCAGCAACCTTTGGAGACAGCAGGTAGCTGCACTTTGGGACTGGAATGAAGAGCTCTGAATGTATAAAACAGTGGGAGCCAATGCTGAGGATCATCGAAGGTAAGACACAGGGGCAGCCTGGCACAATGCCCCGCACCCAGTAGGTGTCCGGCAGCTCTTCTAACAGCACTGAAGGACGTGCGGGCAGTTTGTAGCTGCAACTGGTCTGGCTCCTATTATCGCCACGCTTTCAAAAATGATTTCATTTTCACCGAAATTTGATTTCTTCCACTTAAATTCTTCCCACTTTCTTTCCTGCCTCCAAATAAATCATGACCTAAAACAGTTCTTACCTTAGGGCTTAGGCGAATGATGTCTCCCATCCTTTCAATGAGCAAAAACATCACCTGCGAGTCTGTTTTTAACCACATCCTGCCATGGTTCCCAGTGTCCCCTACGTGAGACAGCCTTTTCACGGCTGCCTCTGACTGAGACGGTGGTCCTAGGAACACATTACCGCTGACCCACAGGGGCCGCTACTCCTGCTATTTCACACACTAGCTCAGCGATCTGTCCGGAGGACTGAGTCCCAGGTGTGTGTTCTTCCTCCGGCAACATGCTGGGAGGGAAAGAGTGGGTGTAGTAGGAGCCAAAACATGCGCATACAAACACCTCCACAAGGAAAATAACTGGGAAAGAAGAGACTCCTGGAACAGCCAAGGAGAGTCCATTGGAGCCCTGGGCTGGGTGGCGCAAAGCACTCTCTACCAGTCTGTTCTTTGTCACCAACATTCCCACCGACAAAGACCCACGGCTTGTAATTAAATGAGCAACACTTTGTTCTCATTCTGGAAGACAAAGCAAACAGGAACACATGCACCCAGAACCAAACCAAACCACCTCCGGACCCCAGAGAGTTAGGAGGCAGGAAGCTTACTTACCGCGAAAACCCCGCGAACAACCCAGCCGTGGTGCTGCCGCAACGTCTTCCCGTACGCGTTGTCTAGAAAAGAAGAAAAGCTCCATGAGCATTGGCTCTCACCAGAATTTGATGTGCTTTTAGTATCTCGTCCTTTCTCATGTATGGTCTTAGGAACTGATGAAAAGCCTCATTGTAAGACTATATATCCCAATGTTTTGGGTAGAAAAAAAGTCTATGCAGATTTTTGTTTTAAAGAAAAATATATATTCCCACTCTTACCCTGTGTCAATATATCTGAACTGTAGCTTATTATCATGGAGGCGGGGAGAGGAAGTTCAATATGTATAAGGAAATAAAGAGGGAGAAAAGGATACTAGAAAAATCGAGACTACTTACATCTACCTACTATAAAATATTAAAATGCAGCTTTCTGAAAGGTGTGAGTTGAGCCAGGCCTTCAGCTGTCTTCCCTTTTGTAAGATGATCCTAAGGTTCTTTTTTAAAAATCTGTTTTTATTACTTGCAGAGAGAGAAAGGGAGAGGGAGAGAGATAGAAACACTGATGATGAGAGAATCACTGACCGGCTGCCTCCTGCATGCCTCCTGCTGGGGATCGAGCCCACATTCCAGGCATGGGCCCTGACCAGGAATTTAACCGTGGCCTCCTGGCTCATGGGTTGATGGTCAATCACTGAGCCACGCCAGCCAGGCTAACGTTCTTTTCAATTCTAACATTCATTCTGGGATGGCAGATGTTTATCCCAGATGTCCGAGGACCCTGGATACACAGCATTAGACCCAGGAACCTTAGAACTGTTTTGGAAAGAAGGGCTTAGAGTTAAAGTTCTAAAGTAAATGGTGAGGCCCATTAATAAAAGTCATTCAGATTCTAGACTTTAAAGATAAAAACCTATTCCTTTTGTCCCGTTGTGTTTTAAAATATGATTTAAAAACAAGTGTATAATAATTTTTATTACAAAAAAATAACCTCAAGAACAAGGTGACTGCATTTTTTGCCAGGGATGCATTCCTAAATGCTTTAAATAATTCAATATGTGCAAGATTCAAAACTGATTTTTTTCCACAGGAGTAAGTTCAGCCCCAGGAGGCACGGAGCTTTATCATCATCATGCATTTTTACTTCAATGCTCCATTTTATTTCCTAGGTACCGTCTCCACTAGTTCACAGAGCGCTTATTCCTAAATTAACAGGGAGTATCAGGGGAGTTGTGTGACCTTCTTTAGCATGTTTAGCTCATCTAAATTCTATTCTAAACTTACGTATTTTCATGTGCTAGTTTCAGCACTAGTACAAGCACCGCCACCATTTAATGAATGCTTAGGTTTAGCATCGGATACAAAATATTTTAAGTTATAATGAGGGTAGGGAGCGGCTCATGGGACTAAGGACCCCTGGGGTTGGGGACCTTCACCTGCCATGAAAGGACTCTGAGCTTCCCCCCCTGGGGCACAGGGGCACTTTATAAAAATATAGCTTACTGCTTCTTTCTGATCCCACAAGTAATGCATGCCCATTGTTAAAAGTACAGGAAACACAAAAACGGAGGGAACAAGGAATCCTGGATAATTGTGGCTCTCAGAGAAGCACGGTAGCATCGGGATGTACTCTCTCCGTCTTTTTCCTATACAGATAGTGCATTTCCTTCGGCTAATGGTCACGATCCATCTGGTTTGGAATTGTGGAGCAATTGTGGAATTAGAGGAGCAACATGGTGAGACTTGGCAAAGGTTGCTGCCAAGGTCCCCGTTCCTCCACCCAGAGCCCCTTTGGCTGGGCAAACTGCCTACTGGCAAGGGCTCTGGGTCCAGTATTATGTCAACCTCAGAGACATCATAGTGTTTCGACATTTTACCATTTATTTATTTATTTAAATATGTTTTTATTGATTTGAGAGAGAGAGAGAAAGGGAGAGAGAGAGGGATACATCGATTGGCTGCCTTTTGCGCGCTCCCTACTGGGGATCGAGCCTGAAACCCAGGCACATGCCCTCTCTGGGAATCCAACCGGTGACCCCTCAGTTCATGGGACGACACTAAACCACCTGAGCCACAGCGGCCCTTTAAGTCACTTTGCCCTTTAAGTCAACCATACACAAAAGCCCGTAACCTTTCTCCACGCCCCCTTCTCTAGGGCAACCAGAGAGCAAAGGTGCCGGGAGTCCACGCAGTGTGGGCGGGCAGCCTGGCTAAGGAAGAGGGAGTGTTTGTGGAGCAGCACGACCTGTGTCCCCTTCCTGGCCTTCCAGGAGGCAGCTCTTCCTTACTGCGCCTGCGCCTTGCCAGAGAAGAGTCCCCGCGGCAGAATGTGGGCCAGGTGGTCCAACGGAAGGAAACGATGTTAGAGAACTGGGCTGGGTCCTGACTCAGGCCCAGCAAGACCACTGCTATAATTTAAAATCAACAAGTAAACTCATTAAAAAAGAAAAAAAAGAAAAAAAAAAAGGTTTGCCCAAAGTCCTTAGCTGACTTCTAGGGCTGCATTACAGCACGAAGTCTAAGCCTGACCTATTTTGGTTATCCAGAGATTAGATAATGAAATTCATTAATCTTCACTTTAATACTCATTCGTCATCCTCATGCGAGCTCTATAATCAGGAGGTATTTTTGGCTTCCAGAAGACATAAATGATGCCCTTCTCCCAGTTCTCTGAGACGTGTCACTTCCTCACAGCCCGCGTCAAGATTTCTGAGCGGGAAGCCTTGTTAATAATTTACCTTGCCCAATTCTCTTCCTTCACAAGTGAAGAGGCAGAAAACCCAGAGAGACCGTGACTTCCCCAAGGTCACAAAGCTCAAAGCAACGAGAACCTGGGGCATTCTGTCACATTAAGCCATTCTGCCAAAAACTAAAGCTATCCTCTGTGAAACAAAATGATGAGAATGAAAAATGTGCCTTTCCCACCCATTTCCTAAAAGAATTTGGACCTTAGTCTGTTTGTGGGAACCAAACAACTGTGATTCCTTTCCTGGTAACTCAGAAACTCACTGTGAGGTACTCAGAGACCATGGCTAAACTTACTCAGTGTCTGAGCGCGAACCCTCCAGCTGGTGGACAACCAGAAATGGAATCTACTAGTCTCTCTAGAGCACAGACCTATAATCGGTAGGAATTTGTAAAGTCCCTTTGAAGACAAAGAAGAAATGCAAATCGACGTTTTGAGCGAGAGCTTAGGAAGTCGATAAGCAAGGCCGGGGAAAGGTAGAATCTGCCTTTCACTGAGCCCAGGGTGGGACACCTATCGCCAGCCCTGCAGGAGCGGCTCGCAGGAAAAGGTGCAGTGGACAAACACGAAGAGCAATACTGAGTGAGAAAGGAAGAATGTGCATAGCGTGACACCATGTATACATGCTTAAAACATGCAATACAGTGCTGGATACTGTAATACGCAGACACAAAAAATACATAGAAGTATAAAACACGCATTATGGAATGACAAACAGCACATTTTGGAAATGGAGATAGTCATGGGTCAAAGGGTGGCACATGGGTTCTGTACTGTTCTATATATTTGGCCAAGTGACAGGTATTTGTCAAATGTCTGAAATACTTAAAATAAAAAGACTGAGCTATTAGGAAAATTCCCTCTGAGTTCTTTTTTTCTTTTTTCTTTCTTTCTTTTTTTTTTTTTTTTTAAAGATTTTTAGTGAGTTTATTTGAGCCAAACTGTCTATGCCGGGAAGCAGAACCTCAATGAATTGAGATAATACTCCATCCTCTGAATTCTTTATAGGCACTAAGCTCAGGCAAAATGGACTGTCTAGAGAAAAACCAACTCAGTTAGCAGGAGACATCCTTTGTTAACTCCAGGCACAGTCTAGACCACATGTGTCAAACACAAGGCCCGCGGGCCAAATCCGTCCCGCCAGGCCTTGCAATGTGGCCCGCACCGCGCTGTCATCACTGCACTCCGCTGCGTTTCCATCACAATGACAGTTTATGACTGTTCAGTAAACCATTCGGCCCGCGATTTAGGCTGGATTTTAGATTTTGGCCCCTTCTCTGATTGAGTTCGACACCCCTAGTCTAGACGGACCTTGGGCGTGAGCCAATTCTGCCAGCAGAGCCACCTGCTGGGTGGTGCTTCGGAGCGAGCACGACTTAATCCACGTTCCATGGTACTGTCAGAACGATTAGATAGGTTATAATTCGACGTTGAGTATGTGATTATGACTTCGGGCTTTCTCACATAGCTCTCCTTGCCTGTATTAACTGTGACTGAGCATCCTGGAGATCCTGGGGGGGGGGGGGGGGGCTGTGTGCTCATATTTTACCTGACATTTATGGAACCATTCCGAGTTGAGGGTTGTGTTGCGTGCTATCCCCCAGAGGGAGCGGTGCTGACACAGAGCATGCAGCATTTAGTACAATGGGGCGTGAAATGCCAGAACAGCTTTTCTCCCCGCCACTTACAGGGCTGGTCTACAAAAGCGCCTGCGACAGGGGGGCTTAGCTATAGGCTGGACCACTGAACATACCTGTTTTGTGACCCAAATCTTTTCTTAGAAGGACTTCTAGAGAATGTCACAGGACATTAGGGTTCAAAGCTTCTTGGCATAGCACCACCCAGAATATTCTACAGAATCATCATGATGGGGAACCCAAGTGATGGCTCAGATGCAAGGGCGGCAGCATGAAGCCTGAGGCTTCCTTGCAGGTGCAGGGAACTCGTTCTCGGCCGCAGGGCTGCAGCAATACAGCGACTATCCAGGTATTTTCTAGGGAGTTAACAGGTGACAAGGTTTCCATTTGGCATTTAAGCCTTTTACATGTCATCTCCCATTTTCCAAGGCCACAAGATGACACAAGTTCTGTGAACATTTACCTCAAACCCTTTCTTAAGCGTATTTTCAAGTTTGGGAGTGGCACCCAAGGTTTATCTTTAGTTTATCCCTAACACTGTCTTACTGTTCTTAGGTTGGAAAAATTCTGTTATTAGGAAACTACTAATTCCCATGAAAGGAAGGCAAAATCATCTGATGCTGAGGATAACTAGGTGTGCTTCCATGTCCTAGCTCTAAGTGACTGGGTTTCACACTTTATTTTTATTTTTTAAATATATTTTTATTGATTTTTCACAGAGAGGAAGAGAGAGGGATAGAAAGTTAGAAACATCGATGCGAGAGAATCATCGATCAGCTGCCTCTTGCACACCCCTACTGGGGATGTACCCGAAACCAAGGTACATGCCCTTGACTGGAATCGAACCCGGGACCTTTCAGTCCGCAGGCCGACGCTCTATCCACTGAGCCAAACCGGTCCCAGCTGGGTCTCACACTTTAGATTAGAATCCTCTCAATGGCTGGTAATGCTCAGACTGCTGGGCTCTGATACTCTTCTGGGTTAGCAGGTGTCCAGTGGGGCCTGGCAGTCTGCATTTCTACTAAGTTTTGGTGTGTGTGTGTGTGTGTGGGGGGGGAGATCGGTTAGGGAAACACTTTTCCACACTGAACACAGCAACGGGAAACTAGTGATCCCTACAAGGAGGATATGATTTACAGTAAATCATGAAAACCTCTGAAATAGTCCTGAACACTGGATGCAAGTCTCACATTCACAGTCCCCTTTTCCTTTCCACTGAAAACAGTGCTGAGAGGGAAGAGGGGAAGCAAAGGCTGAGACTGCTGTGATTATATCCCTTTTGTAGCAGCATTGCCCTTAAGCCTCCTCTCTCTCAGGGCCAACATTTCCTGGTCCACTCTCCTAAAAGGTAGGGGAGTAAAAGGAGCAGGGTTAGGGGCTGGGGGTGGGGACAGGACGGAAAGGGTATGTCCTCCATTTCCTCTTTGCCTCCAGGGGCAAAGCTTTTCCTTTCACTTGGTTTGAAAGCAGCTGGGTGCTATTCCACCCCAGTCCAGCAGAGGGCGAGTGAGATTAGCATTCCTTTCTGGCCCCCTCCTCTCCCCGCCCCCCAGCCCTACAAAGCAATGGCATCACCTGACACACCCCCTGCTGAATTTCTTGCCGGTGGAGCAGTGGTTCCCAACAGGGGGCACATGCCTCATTGGGGGGGCAATTTGATTTTTAAGGGGGGGGCAATTAGAGATTTCTTATGGTCCTAGGGCCTCATATATAGTATATAAACATATATTGTGACATATTTATACATTTCAGTTCTCAAATTATGTTTTGAAACTACTATTTTTTTCCTATCACTTCATATTATTATTTTTTAAACAATTTCTTAGTGATTTCCTCCTCAGTAATTCAACTGTCCTTTCTTGTAAAACAGGTTGGGAACCACTGTCCTAGTGTGAAATCTCCCTACTAAGAAGTTACTCTGTGAAGAGAAATGTCTGGCTTGGCACCCAAGCACTGCAAACTTTCCATTCCTGATTTGGGACAAATAAATCCCATATATCAATGTTATATACCATGATGATAAGAATATAAATAATGAGAGAAGCTAATCTCTATTAAGTGCTTATCACATGCCACCTTTCTGATCTTTTTACATGCATGAAAAGATTTAATCTTTACAACAGCTGTGTTAGAAAAACTGGACCATCGCTGCCATTTTACAGATGAGGAAAAGCGTTTCCTTTCACTTGCTGGTGTGAAGCAGAAAGTTAAGTATACGTCACTGTAGTTAATTAGTTATTAATAAAGAAAAGAGCAAAGGGAAGTCAGACGTTGTTGAGCACAGTCACCTGGGAAGCCGAGGATGATCTGCTTCCTCCACGTAGGAAACCACAGTCCATCCCCCCTCCCCCCGGGGGGGGGGGGGAACGAAGGGAGTCAAGCAGACAGCAATGAAGTCAAAATGGTGCAGGGGGAGGTGCTGGAGCACAGAGGCAGTCTAGTCTAACCTGGGAAAAAGATCATTGGCTAGGGGGTGGAGCCAGTGCAAGCCCAGAAAGTTTGGGAAGCTGATTGGGGAGCAGATGACCATACGGGTCCAGTGGCCGCCTGGGGCTGTGAAAACTGCACAGGCTCTGAGGACTATGAAGCAGAAACCCGGGGCACTGGCCTTTGCCCGGCTGAAGACACAGTTGTACTTTTTCCACGGCGGGACCGGCGGAGATGGGACATTGGAAGGCAGAAGGATAACTCTTTCGATATTATATCACAAGTACACCACATCACAACCTCTCATGCGTGTGTCCTTCGAATTCTTTCTTCTTGATCCCAAGGAAGAGCCTAATACCCACCGACAACAAACTGACCAGGGCACAATGCTCTAACGTGGTGGAATGCAGTGAGCCCAGGATCTTTATCATGCCACAGGTCAACAAGTTCCCCAGGTACTGGTTAGGGGCGTGACCCGTTATGATGAATATACTTTTAGTACTGAAATCAGGACACATTGGGAGAACATAACTGAGACTGTCTTGGAAATTCAGGGATGTAAGAGAAACCAAAACATGCAGGTAGCCCGGGACGGTGGAGACATTTTGCCAGGGAAGTGAGGACTTTGAGGCAAAAGCCCTAAAAGTGGCCCTGATTCAAACTCTTCGTGGTCTTAGCATGTATGTTAATCCTTCACAATCATGGTTACCTAACCTATAAAAATAGACTGATTTGAGGATTAAGTTGTCTAGATTCTTCATAAAGTTACACAAATACTAGCTTTCATGGCACATCAGCAAGTTTCTAGACAGAAAGGTCTGGGAAAACCATGTAGGAGTAGAATCCCTCTGGCCTTATGGCCCAGAGGCAGCACTAAGAGGCAAGCTCACCTGGAGACCGACAAAACCTGCAATGATCACTGGCTCCCCTGCCCAACAGAAGCATCAAACTCACTCATTTCACTGCTTACATCCATGGCTACTTAGAGCCTGACCACGTGCTTCTCCACATCATAGCAACACAGGGCTTCGAAGTCAGGGAATTTCACCCCCCGCCTCCCAGGCCTCGGGGCCCCTGCTGGAAGCTTTCCCATAGGACAAGAATGAGCGTTCCGCCACTGTTAGGAACTCTAAAAGGATGCTTCCAAGTCTTTAATGTTTTTCAAAACTGGTCTGATAGATACATGGATCGATCCATCCACCCACCCACCCACCCATCAGTGTTTACTAAGCATCCACCATGTTCTCGTCTTTTGACCTCAGCCTTGACCCCAGTCTCAGCTCTGCCACTACAATGGAGCATATGGGGCAGGTGAGGACTACAAGATAATGGCCAATCCTTCATCTTACGCCAGAGCAAATTCCCAGGGTTCCCCAACCCCTTCCTTTCATAGGCTCCAAAATAAGCTTCTCTGAATACTGATTTTAGAAGACTGTACTGCATTTGAAGGTTAACTTAGGAAGAATGGATTTCTTGGGAATGTTAGGTTTTCCTATTAAGATTAAGAATTGGCTCTCCATGAACTTAACTCTTCCTTAAGGTACACAGATTTTAATAATTTAGATCTAGATGATCAGGCCACTCTCTCATGGTTCTTTTTAAACCAAGCATGTAAGAAACAAACAATTAGTAATGAAGAACAAAAAAAAACAAAACCATAGCTGCAGAGCAGAATTTCCCCTCCACCCTGTCTTCCTCCGGGGCCTCCTCCCCACACCCTGTTCAACTGATCCATCGAAATGGAAAGAACACTTACTCAGGGCCGTCTGGATGTCCCTTTCTCCATTTTTCACTTCTGTTAAAAATCCTTTCAAGAATTTGAGACCTCTAAAACAAAAAAGAGGAAGAAATGTTAGTTTCAAAGTCCACTCCTGTTAGGTAGAAAGCAGCGGCAGAGCCCGGCTAGCAGCAGGTAGCCACAAATCTAACGGCTACCACGTTGGAGAGTACGGCTTGCACAAGTGCAGCACAGGCCTCTAAGTCAGTTTCCAGTAATCTCCTGGGCTTGGCAGGCAGCAGACTGAGCCACGGCAGTCCTTTCCGGTCTTTCTGTGTCCCCTCCAGCTTGCTCTGGCCCTTCTCAGCTGGATGGCTAAACAGGAGTTTTCAAAATGTGCTCTCAGGGCCGGCAGCTTCAGCAACACTTGGGAACTTGCCAAAAAGGAAAATTCTGAGGCCCATTCCACACTTACTGAGTCAGAAACTGGGGTTGGGGTGGAGCAACTATGTTTTTAACAAGCGCTCCAGGAGGCTCTGATGTCCCTAGTTTGTGATCCACTGACTTAATGCAAAACCAGTCAACTTTATCATGCTTTAATCTTATGTATACTATTAATATTAACAATGTTTATCAACATCAAGAGGAAGGCAAAACAACAAAACAGATATGGTGTTTTATTCATTAGAGCTTCTGGAAAAGGCTATGCAAGTAGGCAGGGCATCCACTCAGTAGCCTCCTTTCCATTACAACTGCTTCGCTGAGTGGTAAGTGCGGCCCCATCCAGCAGCCTCACCTCTTCAGCCACAAGAGGGCTTCCGTAGCCGAGTTCCTAACCCGGGCTACGTCAGCCTCCACTTCGTGCAGCACTATCTTCTGGAGGGTGGTAAACTCTTCCTTGTTGGTTATATACTTCTGATTCACTTTCTGCAGGAAAAGCAGGGAAGCACTTTAAGTTCAAAATGCTCGAGCCACCAAGAGAATCAGTATAGTACTGAGACTTTAAAAATTTTTTAAAATATAATTTATTGATTTTTTACAGAGAAGAAGGGAGAGGGGTACAGAGTTAGAAACATTGATGAGGGAGAAACATTGATCAGTTGCCTCCCCCACTGGGGATGTGCCAACAAGGTACATGCCCTTGACCAGAATCGAACCTGGGACCCTTCAGTCTGCAGGCTGACGCTCTATCCACCGAGCCAAACCAGTCAGGGAGTACTGAGACTTTTGAGTTTGTCAAGCAGGTCTCTTAAGAAATAAAAATAAATGCAACCTCTCTATTACTTTCTTCCTTATGTTTTCAGGATTTGCTTATTATTATTATTATTATTTTGAGAATTAAGCTGAATTACATAGTTACTCTCAGCATTTTAAAGTACTACTATTTTTACAGGTTTTTTTTTTTCCTCCAGAACCTTTCTCACAGCTGTCCTATACTTTCTATTCTGAGATCAAATGAACAATCATCTATTTCTGAATGGAATTTCACGCAACTATTTCCTCCTAGTATAGAGTCTCCCCAGAGCCAAGTTGGTATATTCACCTTAATATTTCCAACAAGATCCATTTTAACAGGAGCAAACACTGTAGGGCCAAGTTTGTCTAAAAGGAAAAGTTAAAAAAAATCTTTAAAAAAGCAGTATTTTCAAGTGGAAACTATTTTTATAGTAACAATCAATTTAGCAGGTTTTCTCCCCCCCCCCTAAAACACCAAACCAAACCAAACCCTTATAGTTTTTGCTTTTAAATCCTTTTCTAAACATAAACTTCAAAGGCATATGGGATACTATCATCACCTTTTTCTATTGTGCTATCCTGAGGTGAGTAACTATAATAAGGTCCTAAATGGCAGGGGAGGATAATCCTATAAACTCCGAATACATATTGTAATCCTTAGGGCTATCCTACCCAATGTGGTGGCCATTATATTTGTGGCCACTTAGTGCTTGCAATTAGCTAGTCCAAACTAAAATGTATTGTCAGTGTAAAATATATACCAAACTTCAAAGATTTAGTGCCAAAAAGGAATGCAAAATTTCTCATTAATGATTTTTAAAAAATATTGATTACATGTTGAGATAATATTTTGAAAATATGAGATTATGCAAAATAAATTATAAAAATTAATTTTATCTGTTTTATTTTACTAGTTAATGTACCTGCTAGAAAATTTAAAATCACATATGTGGTTGAAATATTTCAGTTGGACAAGAACAACTAAAAAAATAACACAATTGGGTAGAGCTAAAAAGCCAAATGAGAAAATATAATAAAATTCTAAAAAATACTTGATAGATCCAAAAGAAAGGCAGGAACAAAGATAGGTAGTTAAAAAGCCAAAGAGGAAGTAAAATTGAATACTAAAAAAATAACATTAATTGCTTAGAAGTCAAGAAAGTGTGACAAAGGAACAAAGAACAGATAGGACAAATAGAAAATAAATAGCAAGATGGTAGAAACAAATAATAAGATAGTAGACTTATATTCATCCAAACAATGCAATTCACTACATTAACAAAGCACAGGGGGGAAAAAAACAACACTTGATAATTTCAATAAAACAGAAAATATAATTTAAAATTAACTCATTCATGATTATAAAAACAATGTACAAAAGTCAATGGTATCTATGTGTTATCAACAAACAGGAAAATGGAATCGTTTTTACAATAGCATGAAAACTGTTAAAATTCTAAAATTTATTCCTAACAAAAGATGTATAAGACCTCTATACTAAAAAAGTGATATAAACATTGTTGTGAAAATAACAAATATTTGAGTAAATGGAGAGATACAGCATGCTAAAGCATTAGAAGACTCAATGTTTAAGATACATGTCAGTTCCCTCCTAATTGGCTTAGACTCAATGTAATCTTAATAAAAATATCAACAAGCTTTGTCATAGAACTGGAAAGCTAAAACTTATGTAGACATGCAAAAGACCTAAAATTGCCAAAACAATCATGAAAAAGAAGAACAAAATGGGAAGAGTTACATTATTGAATTTCAAACCTTACTGTAAATGCACAGCAATTAGGACATGGAGGTATTGGCATAAGAAAAACCAAATAGACCACTGACAGAAGAGAGGGTCCAGAAATAGACTCATGCTTACTAGGTCAATTGGTTTTTCAGCAAAGCTGCCAAAGTAATGTAAAAGGGGGAAAAGTGGCTATTCAACAAATGGTTCTTGAACAACCAGATATAATAATAATAAAAAGAATCTCAACACTTACTTCACACTATACACAAAAACTAATTCCAAGATGACTTACAGAGGGAAACAAAGTCAAAATCAAAAGTAAGACTATAGAAGATGACATGGAGAATAGCTTCATAATCTTGGGGGTAGGTAAAGATTTCTAGGACACTGAAAGCACTAAATATAAAAGGAAGAAAACAGATAAATTGGATTTCATGAAAATTAAAAACTCTGCTCTTCAAAAGACATCAGTAAGAAACGGGGCAGCCATAGTCTGGGGAAAAATACTCATAATGTGTATGTTTACACCGCAATGTTACTCAAAATATATAAAGAACTCTTATGCGTCAGTAATAAAAAGAAAATTAACCTTTTAAAAATGGATTACAGCCCTAGCCGGTTTGGCTCAGCGGACTGAAGAGTCCCAGGTTCGATTCCGGTCAAGGGCACATGCCTGGGTTGCAGGTTCGCTCCCTAGTAGGGGGTGTGGAGTAGGCAGCTGATCAATGATTCTCTCTCATCGTTGATGTTTCTATCTCTCTCTCCCTCTCCCTTTCTCTCTGAAATCAATAAAAATATATTTAAAAATAAAAAAATAAAAATGGATTGAAGACTTAAATAGACGTCATAATGTAAGAAATAGCAAAAACCAATAATTACATGAAAAAGTGCTTAACATCATTAGTCATCAGAGAAATGCAAATTAAAGCCACAACAGGATACCATTAGACACAGGAACGGCCAAAACCAAAAACGCTGACACCACCAAGTGTCTGTGAAGATGTGACACAAACAGAATACTCACACGCTGCTGCTGGAAGTGTATAACTGAGCAAGTAGCCTTTATAGAGCTAAACATGCGAACACTCCTTGGCACTGGCTCGAGAGAAAGGAAAACATATGCCCACTGACACAAAAATGTTCAGGGCAATTTCACTTACAATAGCCTCAAACAAGAAACTACCCAAATGTCCATCAACAGGAAAATGAATAAACAAATGGTTAATTCACTTAATAAAATACTATTCAGCAATAAAAAGAAATGAACTGTTGACACATGTAACAACAAGGGTGAAAACATTGAGAGAGAAAGCCCGATGCAAAAAGGTTATAACATGACTTGATAGACATAGGATTTTAGACCAGGAGAAACTAATCCATGGTGACAGGAAGCAGGAAAATGGTGACAGACTGGGGACTGACTGGCAGAGGGACTATTCTGGGTGATGCAAACATCCTTTGTCTTGACAGGGATGCGGATTACATAAGTAGGTGCATTTGTCAAAACTCACTGGGATCACAACGCTTAAGTTCTATGCAAGCTATACCCCAATTTAAAAAAAGATGTCTAGGTTATAGTCATATAGCGATTTCTGATACTATTGACTCTATAAAAATAAAGTAAATAAAATTTGAACTTAACAAAAATTATAGCTATAATTTTTTTAAATTTGAAAAAATGTTTTAACTGGTAAGCATTTTTTTCATAATACCAATGGATTTGAAGGTCTATTCCTCAATGACCTTCACTTTCATTTTAAATTATGATTTCTAGAAAATAGAATTCTCCTTTTTCATGATATTTCTTGGAGGTCACCATTTAGTCACAATTAGAAAAGAAATGGGAATATGCAATAATGCTTCAGGTCATGCAGTTTTAACTGTATGTGGCTGGTGCCATGAAGAGGTAGCTACCAGGAAGAAGGGTCATCTCACTGTCCACACAGTTCAGATCTCGATGCAATATAACAGCTGTGAGACAGAGTCTAGAGACTAATAAATTTAAGGAAATGCAGCAACCTTACCCAACACTGGAACCACAGCATAACATGACTCCAGGAATGCTTCTGTGGGAATGCCACTGTCTTCCAGAAGTTCAATATCACTAAAGCTAAGCCATGTGGTGATAAGGAGAAGGAAAGAATGCAAAAGAGTTAGCACCCTCTGCAGTTCGGAGGCAGTCATGAAAACAGCTGCCCTCTCTACAGGGAAGTCATTTGGCCGGATTTTACACATATGCCAGGTATTAGTGTTTCTATTACAACACAGTCTAAATACAATGTAATTTCCCAAAGCTAACCATCAAAGCAAACTACAATTAGTCTAAAGTATGCTCTCACAATCCAGTTCCTTCTCGTCCACTGCTTCAGACACAGTAAACAGTAAATCAGACCAGTTCTCTATGCTAGAACACACCATCCCCTGAAGGGAATTCCAGCACTGACCTCCCAGAAGGCATCCACCTCCAGTGATGTTAGAGCACAGATACCTGGTGTTCATGGTACTGAAGAAAGTCGGGATAACTTCTTGGCCTTCTTCCCAGGGGGATTCCGGAGAGCTACTTGAGGAGTTTGATACGGACTGGGCCAAGTTGTCATGATTTTCCAAGTTTTCCTCTCCATCTTCCTTCATTATTTCACCTTGTACTGCAGAGTAGAAGATACTTATTATTAATCCATTATTTATTATAAAAACTTATATATACTCATTGCAGAACATTTTTAAAGCACAAAAGCACACAGAAATGAAGATCAGTGACATTCTATATACAGACACACATACTATATGTACATGCACACACACAAAATTAGGTTTAAATATATGTAGATTTGTATCTTGATTGTTTTCTTTTTAAAAAAATACATTTTATTGATTTTGTATAGAGAGGAAGGGAGAAGGAGGGAGAGTTAGAAACATTGATGAGAGAGAAACATCAATCAGCTGCCTCCTGCACACCCCCTACTGGGGTACATACCCTTGACTGGAATCGAACCTGGGATCCCTGAGTCCGCAGGCTGACGCTCTATCCACTGAGCCAAACCAGTTAGGTGTTTTCATCAATGTATCAAAAAATACTTTCATTATCATTGAATACTCTTCAAAACATAATTCTAATGACCATGTAAAATTGCACCATGTGGGGGGCATTTAGGTAGTTTCTAAACTTTTATTAGAAATAGTCACTTCTCATTATTCATATATTCTGGATTTGTAAGTTTGCCTACTTGCTAAAGTTTATTTGAAACCCTAAAATCAGTGCTTACAGCACTTCTGCAGTCATTTGTGGACATGTGCCGAGTGGTGAAAAAATTGAGTCACCTGACATATGTTTCCAGCTAAGGTTAAACAAGTGACACTCTGCCTTCTTATTTCAGCTCCCATACTGTATGCATGTGTTTCTTTGGTGCCACATTTTGTGCATTTTTGTGTACTTTGCTGCTGATTTCACTGTTTAAAAGGGCCCCCAAGTATAGTGCTATCTGTGATGTGCCTTATGGAGAAAATGCCTATGTTAGCTAAGCTTGACTCAGGTACGCGCTGTAGAGCTACTGGCCATGGGTTCAATGTTACTGAATCAACAATATATAGTACACAAAGTGTTTTGAAAATGAAACACAAACAAGTGTTGATCAGTGGATGAAAATGTTGTCAAGTGAAGCTTGCAGGACCCTAACTCTGAATTTCCCCTTGGAGCATGGTTCAGAATTTGCTAATTCAGTGTCTGCAATGGTTTTACAGAACATAGCTACCATGAATAATGAGAATCAACTGTGATGTCATAAACAACATCTTTGTGCACAGAGATTTGTCCTTAAATCTGACTACTCCCCATAGACAAATTGCTAGAAATAAAAATACTGGGGCAAACAACAATACTGTTTCCATAGAAATTTTCCTGTCTTTATTATTACTAAAGGGACAAGACTTCAGTGATAATGTGGGTCATCTGCCTTACATTAACTGTTATGAAAATACGTCTTCTTTTCTAAACCCAGATCATCTGGAAAAATGGAGTCTGATTTCAAGAGAAATGAGGAGGACAGTTTAAAAATTTTTTATTTTTATTTTTAAAATATTAAAACTTATCACACAATTAAAAGCTCTACTACTGTTGTCTCGGACTGATCCGAAGTTGGTTTAGGGTAGAGCCAATGGCATTAGCAAATTTGAAAGGGCAGCATTGGAACTGCAGGCTATGACCTGAAATGTGGGACTTCGGCTTGAACACAGAGGCCAGGGAAAACCCGATGTGGTTGGTGAATTCTGACATACTCAGGCCTCCCCAGAAACCAGGAGGATGGAAACCTGAACTGCCATAACTTCTCACACTCCTCAGTCTGACGTCACGGTCTAAGTTTAAAGGACTTCGAGATTCAGAGTGGAAGCCCCACGAAATACTTGCGCTCTCTAAAAGGTTAGTGCAGGCAGCTGTGCTCACTGCAGCCCATGAACGTCATGGCCAAGACCGGTGAGCAGGACAATCCCTCTTCTCTCTGCCACTCTGCACCGGTGAGATGGACGGCAGAATGTTGCCTGACAAGGACCTGTTGCCCGCTAATGCTAATTCACTGCCTCAGGAGCTACCGAGGACACTGTCTTGAGCTCAGTTCTCACCATGTGTCCCATCAGGGCTAATGGATCAAACCCCCAACATCCTAACGTTCAAGGTTTCACTTCAGACTTTAAGTTCGTCTTTACCTGTTATATTATCATCTATATTTTCTTCCCTTGACATGCTGCAATTGATCTCTGCAGATTTCAGATACAAGGAGCTCTTGTTTTTCATTGGGATTTCTTCATCGTCATTTATTTCGTTATTTAAAGATCCATTTTCACAATTGTTTAACTCCATTTGCCTGAGAATTTTTTTTTTTTTAAAGAAAAAGAGCAGAAGGTCTAATTATTTGGTCAGAAATGGATTGTCTAGGTAGATCTGATTCTGAGGGATGGTGGAAGGGTTTACATTGATTGAAAAACAGAATTGTTAAATCAGCCAAATCTCTCACTCCTTCCCTATGAGGGGAGCAGGCCAGTCTCCAGGCTGAAGGTGAGAACTCACAGCCAGCCATGGCTCTTCTCACACCTCCAGGGACTCAAACTCCCTGCTCCCTGCCAGCAACAGGAAACAGTCATTGACAGGGCTCTGGTTTCCAACTAGCTTTCTGCAGGGACCGAACTTAACACTTTTTTTCTCTCAGTTCCCAAAATCATTGGCCATTTCCCTGTGTTTGCCTAGCAGGTAACTGTCTAGAAGCCACATGCTGTGATCAGGGCAGAACAAACATCCCTGCCAAGTATGTGTGACAGATAAAACTTCGGAGGACAGGCAACATCCTGAGGTTCTGCTGCTCCTCAAGGAAACAGAAGGCAATTTAACATACAAAGTGCAACACCCGACTCTGTTAAAGGGACAATCATAATATCTTATTATAAGGATGATAAGGATGAGCCAAATTTGAAGAAAAAAATTTTCTTCTAATAAAAATAAAGGGAAAGGGTCCAAGCTACAGGATGATTCCAAGAAATTTTTATTTTCTAAAGAAATATCATATTCAACTTAGTAATGAAAAATATACTATACTAAGGAAATACCTCAAGAGAAAAAAAAATGATAAAGATGTTCTTAGCAGAAATAAATATTTAGGTCAGCAGAAAATTTTTAACAATCAAATTGGGACTAATCCAGTATTAAAGAAGCAAACAATATATATAAAGAGGTAAAATATTAAATAATAATTTTAAAGGACACATACACTAAGTAAAAATTTGGGAATGCTTAAATCAAATAATATAAGTAAAGATCCCAACTAGTAGGATCATAACTATGTAAATGTGTTATTTTTTTAAACCAAAGCAGCCTTTGGAGGAAGAAATAGTTTAGTTTTTGACGTTATGTTCCTTTTTCAATCTGTAAAGCCACCTAGGATTTGTATTTTTATGTGAAAAACAATAGCACTGTCCTTCCCGGTTTAAAGCGTGCTTAAGTCCAAGCCCAGCTCCTCCACAAGAGGCGGTGCCCACCCACAGTGCACCGGGGAGATGGCAAGTTTCCTGCGGTGATGGTAATGAGCAGGGGGCAGCCCAGGGGAGTCCCTGCAGAATGCAAGGTCTGCAACCAACTGCTCAGGCTCACCCAAACGAGGGCAATTGGGTACTATTTCCTTCCCATATCATCTCAAATCATGAGGAAAACCACCATATGATCAAAATATCCTTAGTTTTAAAAAACAAGGAATAACTATATATATATATAATTTATTTATTTATTTTACTTTTAGAAAGAAGAAGAAAAAACAAAACAAAGAAGTTACTGTACCTTTCCAATGAATTATGAATCGGTACAATAGGATGTTTCATCTTTAAAAGAAGCAAAGAGGTGAACGTTTACATGTTAAACTTCCAACAGAGCATTTTTAGTTTTGTCACATATGAAAGTGATAAATATGACCTTCACACGCAGTGCCCCGATTTCAGAACAACTTTAGATCCTTCTAAAAGAAGGGAGTCATTTTTCCCAACCAGCCCCTCATATTTATTCAAACAGGTACCCAAATGTCTAAGGAAAAGGAGGGTGGCCTTTTGAAGGACCTAATTATCAGAGCCAAATCCTTAGTGATTGACTTCCTTACACTTGCAGTTACTCTCATTAAACATTAATAAATACCAAGCTCTGATGCGGTTCTGTATGAAACCTGCCCTTAAGGTAACTGCACTGTGGAGTAAGGTTAAAATACAGGTGGGCAGAGTTCTCAGCCCAACTGAGGGATTCAGGGAAGGAGATTAAATCTTGAGGGTTGGATTGGAGCTAACCAGGAAAGACAGGGGAGAGGCATTCGTGGCACTGGGGAGTAGCTCTGAGATGGGGGGAGCTATGAGCAGTTAACACGGTTGAGCCAGGTAATGACAGCCAGAGAGGCTGGGATGGGGAAGGGGCTGAGCAGTTCTGACTTCACCCTGTAGGCAGTGAGGGAGCCCTGCAAGATCTGGTAGGGTGCCCAATTTACACGGCATGAAGAGAACTACTGGCCAGCTGCCTGGGACGGTCGGACTGAAGGCGACTGTAGAAGGCTACCACCAGTCTTAGGGATGTTCACTGGATATGGAGGCTGGAGAGAGAGGCTGGCTACAGAGACAAGTTCAGGTGGTGAAACTGCCAAGAATGGACATGGGGAACTGAGGGCAGAAGTAAAAGTGGACATAAAGGAAAGTCCGCTAAGAAAGTCTTTATCTGCCAACAAAGAGTAATGGAGACCATAGCTCAGTACATCACTTTCTTAACATTTCAACTTTTCATTAATCCCACCGAGTGGAGCAGGCTCTCACCTTGCTGGACTTGAGCGTGGCCAGCTGCGGCGACCCTGGGGGCGTGTGGCAGAGCAGCTCCGAGGTGAAGGCTGCGTTTGCAATCTGCATGCATTCTTCCAAAGTCTTCAGGAAAGTATTGCACGTTGACTTCAGCAGCGTTCCCACATCGATTCCCTCCTACCAAACAACCAGAGTGGAGACTCCTTTACCGTGCGCAACAGCAGCAGCCCCACTGCGGAATGTCCTTAGGTTTTATCCACAGCCATAATAATAATACCATTCCCGTCTATTCTGCAGGACGAACGTGTACATCAGTTATAAAATAAAAGGACTGAGTCCAATTTATCTATGGACCGTACACGAGCCATACCCTCAATCTGACCCTTCCCAGCCACCCACTGCTCCAGCTGAGAGCAACAACTTCATTCAACTCAGCAACTCGCTAAGCCAGCACCGTGCCAGGTGCTGGGCACAGAGCCCTGGTTCCACAGGGGTGGCAGCCGTGACACAGGGAACCACAGAGATCGTAGACCGGTGGGGTCATTGGAAAAATGTCTCCCGTGGCCCGAGTGAAAATGAGGTTGTAAAACAGAAGCATTAGAAACCGCAAACAACACGCTGTTGGCTTTCAGAATGGGTTTTCTGGCTTTCCACTCAGATGAGTCTAAGGTTTCAGCAACTGGAATTCTTTTGAAAATCTAATCATTTTCCCTCCAAGTTATTTTACTTGTTCAGTGTGTTTTTCCTCTGGACATTGGCACCAATGTGTTATTCAGAAATTGAGGTCACATCCCGACTAGAGAGTGCAGTGACCACATCCTCATAGTGTTAAAGTAGGGGTGTGGAACTCAATCAGAGAAGGGGCCAAAATCTAAAATCCAGCCTAAATCGCGGGCCGAATGGTTTACTGAACAGTCATAAACTGTCATTGTGATGGAAACGCAGCAGAGTGCAGTGATGACAGCGCGGTGCGGGTCACACTGCAAGGCCTGGCGGGACGGATTTGGCCCGCGGGCCTTGTGTTTGACACATGTGTGTTAAAGCAACCAGACTGGGCCCAGGATGGAGTCCCTCATGTGACACCTCATGTCAGAAAACCAAAAACGTAACCAAGTCCCTCTGCTGGGCTGGCCCAGAAAAACATCGCAGACACTGCCAGATGTCTCTTGAGGGGCACCCTGCTCTGGGTTGAGAATCACTGTTCTAGACCATAAACAGCCCAAGAACAGGGCTGAAATGTTTTTTTTTTTTTTAATTTTATTAATATATTGTATTGAATTTTTACAGAGAGGAAGAGAGAGGGATAGAGAGTTAGAAACATCGATGAGAGAGAATCATCGACCAGCTGCCTCTTGCACACCCCATACTGGGGATGTGCCCGCAACCAAGGTACAAGCTCTTGACCGGAATTGAACCCGGGACCCTTCAGTCTGTAAAGCGACACTCTATCCACTGAGCCAAACCGGTTTCGGCTGAAATGGTTTTTATGGTGCCTCTCTCCTTCCCTTATTCAGCACAGTGTCATGTACAAAACAGGCAGTTCCAAATGTTTGCAATTACTTAATTAATCCTGAATTCATCCTAGGAAGGAAACCTATCTGCATCCATAGGCTGAAATGCACATATCTGTTCTCTCTGTTAAATTTTACTTTATTTTCTCTGAGAAACAGTAAAATCCAAGATTCAGGGGTGAAGTGAGAGTGAGCATCACTTAAAAACAACGCCTGGTGTGGCTTCGCATGCGGCGCAGAGCAATCAGGTTTTACCTCAGAACTGGACGCACCAGTTGTTGTCGCTTCTTTCGTTTTTCCCACTTGCTGAACAAGGAGGTCACAGTAGAGTCTTAGTTCTGACATTTTGGTTTTCAAGTTTTCAGTGTTTTCAGCAAACTCTACAAATAAAAAGATGACAATATATGTCATTATCAGAATGAATACACGATGTACTAGTATACAGATCATGGAATATATAATCTACGTCTGAAGTCAGGTGTTTACAGTATGGCTTACAGACAGGAGAAGGCATGGGAGCAAAGAAAACAGAAGAGGAGATGGCCAGTCTTGGGAAATAACCCACATTATTTCTGGAGCCAGCATATTGCCTGGTCAGCAGTACAGGGAGAAGGAGACAGCATATTCCTGACCCACCAGTGTCAGAACTGGGAGCAGGGTCCAGGTTCAGAGTTCCAGTCTCAGTTCTACCAGTTTTCCTGGGTGTAAAATGGGGCCACAGCCCTCTGCCTGCTACGGTGCACAGAACTGGGAAACGGTGTTCTGTAACGTGCAATTACCACTAATGAGGTGGCTCGTTAATTCTAATCCCGAGGACCAGTCCAGCACGCCGCCCGCCGCCCCTCTGTGCACCTGCTGCTCCCTTATTAGCTCGGCACTCCAGCACCCTGGTGCTGAGGGCTCAGCAACAGTCATTACCGCCTGTTTCCGCCTCCATAAAAATGCTGCACGTTCCCACCAGATCTGAGTCAGAGCCGACAGTGTCTAGAATTTACTCCCGATTTAGCATGCAAAAACACCATCGAAGTGGCTGCTTCTCTGCATCTACCGGAAGAGGGAAGCGCATCTGCCACATCTGTCATGAGAAAGGTCTCCTGAAACACTTTTCCCAGAGGCCCTCCTCTCCCTGGCATACGCGTGACCCAGTCCAGAAAGAAAATTGTGTCCTGCTTCTCAGACCTAATGATGGCGAGTTAATGAGCACTGAGCAGCAGCAACCTGACAATTAAGCATCCACCCTCCTCCCTCCCAGGGACAGGGAGGGAAAGCGGGTGCCCCTGCAGGAAGCACCGATCCCAGGCTTCTCTGGCTCAGCTATTCATTGCCAAAGGTGAGCTCTGCCAGACGGGGTACCCCGGGGCTTCAGTCTCACTAATTCTTGTGGTAATCCTACTGTAGGTCACTTCCTTTTTGTAAAATATTAGGAAGCTGAGGCTTCGAGGGACTAAGTGACCTGGGCCAAGGTCACAAAGCCAGGAACCTACCTGCAAAGCCATGATTTGCATTCAGTTGTATCTGGCTCCAAAGCCTGCACTCTTTCTGCTCTGACATGCTGAGCATTGGATAGGGACCAGGGTTTGTTTGCTTTTGCATTTAGAGCTGATTTATTATATAGAAAAGCCTCTTTCATATTTTTCTTTTTTTTAATTTATTTATTTAAAAAAATTTATTTTATTGGTTTTTTACAGAGAGGAAGGGAGAGAAATAGAGAGTCAGAAACATCGACGAGAGAGAGTCATCAATCAGCCGCCTCCTGCACACCCCCTACCGGGGATGTGCCCGCAACCAAGGTACATGCCTTTGACAGGAATCAAACCCAGGACCCTTCAGTCTGCAGGCCGACACTCTATCCACTGAGCCAGCTCTATCCACTGAGCCAAACCGGTTTCGGCTCTTTCATATTTTTCATACAGAGAAATATATGGTTCATTCCTTTAGTTTTCAGTTGTCCTTTAAAACCTGTTTCTTTAAAGCCTATTGACATCTGAATTGGGATCCCTTAGGTGTTGTAGCAATAAATGTATTAGAGTTCTGTGATTGCAGGAAGCCTAAGCCAGTTCACACCTGACAGATAGGCAGCCCTGGAACAAGCGGATCTTGTGTTTCGTGCCACAGAGACTGAGCTCTCAGGTGTCCGGATATTGTATTTTCCCAGTTACCAGGCCCAAGAGACTGACTTTTTGGGGAAGTGGCAGCATTTGAAAATGTTGACAGGGTCCCCAGTTTTGAAGCTCATGGCATCCATGGCTTCTGTGAGGTTGCACTTAACTAATGGTTTTAAAAATATATATATTTTTATTGATCTCAGAGAGAAAGGAAGAGGAAGAGATAGAAACATCAATGATGAGAGAGAATCATTGATCGGCTGCCTTGCACACCTCTCATGGGAATTGGGCCTGCATCCCAGGCATGTGCCCTGGCCGAGAATGAAACTGTGACCTCCTGGCTCTGTTTAATACCACTGTATTGGGCACCATCTGCATGACACAAAAAACTGGCTAGGTGGTCAGAAGCAAGATAACAGATATGGGGCCCAGAGATGACAGTGGGTGACTCACATGGCTCTCAGATCAGAGGACAATCGGTACTTGCCTTTCTCCTTCTGGGTCCTACTGTCGGTCAGGCAAGCCTTGGCTGAGCCCAGGGCCACCAGCCACCGCTGTCTCTCAGCCACACTTCTGGCTTTCAGGTAGAAATACTGTTCCCCAGGGATGATCAGGTCCATGCGTGTGTTATCTACGGAATGAACTTGGAGCAAAGCACAGGGAGGTCAGAAACCCAGAAGAACCCTACCTGGGAACCTCCCTCCCACCCACCTTTCTGAGCTCAACTGGTGCCGGTCACTGGAGTCTGCTTCTAAGAGGAAGCCAGCCCCACCACCTCGCCCAGCTCTTCATCTCATCCGATGCCTCGGCTGATGGGGTGGGAAAACCCTGCAACTGGCTCCTAGGTATCACACCGAGATTCCGGTCTAAAAAACAGCCATTCAATTCTCCTTAGGATCTGTTATCAGAATAGAGAGGGCATCTCTCCTTTGGCTGGCGTGTGTGAAATGTGCTGCTTGCATGCCAACAAGTAAGAGGGCACTCTATCTTCTTGTGTTTACTGGAGGGTGACCAAGAACACAATGTTTCCTTTGCCTCTTCCCTTCCCAAGTCAGATCAAAAGTGTGAGAGTTCCCTCAGGGCCCTCACAAGGAGAAACAAGCAAACTGCACTCTCCTTTACCCACCGCGCACCAGCCCCCAAACCAAAAATTCCCTTCTCATCTCTTTCTCCTCTAGCCTGCTCTGAGCCACATCTCACAGTTCCCAAAACCAAGAACTGAAGGCTATTTGTAGGTCTGTTGGCATTTGCTTGTTTTGAGTATGTGGTGGTGGTGAGAAGAGCTGTGACTTGCAGTGTTAGATGCTGCAGTAAACAGATTTAAATAAATACGCTTTGCAAACAGCCACTGGCGCCAGGTGGGCAGGTGACTAAGGAAGGAGCACTAGGTGTGTGGTCAGGCCCACGGCTCTCCTTTATCTTGATGAACTTTTAACTAACCGCCTGGTAAAAACTGGCTGCAGTTTTAGGTCTTACTGCAGAGCTTTCTTTTGGGACATAACTCTATGTATTTTTGTAATAGGAGAAGCAGAGAAAGGCACGGAGAGACCAGAGCTTCCTTATTTTGGGGGGTGAGGGGAACAGGAGGAAAAATAAAACCTGCAACGCCCTTGCCTCCTCACCTTGAATCTCACAGACCGCCATCTGGATGCTCCCTTTGCAGCCTTTCCAGGCGTCTTCAGGAGAGTCGTAATAGGACAATATCCCGCCACAGAGAAGGAACCACCGGGGCTGCCAACCTGGAAGCAGAAGAAGGGCTTGGTCTGAGGTGCCTCTCAGGGCACAGGAATAGGACCTGACAGGATGTGTCCCCGCACCAAGGAACTGACATTCCAGGGGAAACTGAGGAAAGAAGTAGGTTAGGAAAGACCTGTATGTTTGATCACATTGAATAAAATCAAATTAACCCACAGAAGCATATGTTTTTAGTCACATAACAAATAGAAAAAGTCTGGAAGGATCAGCAACAAATATTGTGATGATTCTCCAGGTAATAGGATTAGTAATGGTTTTTTATTCCCCTCTCCCCCCAAATATACTACTAATAATCTGTGATTTTCAATTGTTTCCTGTACCTTATTATGGTTTTTCTCCCTTCTGGTTAAGAAAATTATCCTAAACTTAGAAATGAGGCAAAAAATTATGCTGCCCTTTCAACATCATACAGATGTTAGGAAGCCTGCCAGGGTCCTATGACCTCCAGAAGTTAACTTTGGCTCACCAGTTGGTACTGAGCCACTGAAATGGAGAAATCTTAAAACATCCCAGGGCTTAACCACTTTACGTTGGGGAATTTCGGGGGACAGACCGTATTCGGTAGCAGTAGGTATCTTATCCATCCTTTGGCACAACCTGCACACTAGTCAGAGCAAACTCCTGTGCTGTCCTGCTGCTGGGCTCCCCTCGGGCTGGGCCTCCAATGTCACCCTGCATCTCTGCATCGGACCGCAGCCGCCTCCGCCAGGTGTACTTTCCTCTCTGACATGCCATTGCCCTTTAGGGATGTATTTCTTTACCGGGACTCTTATGTGGCCGGGGCAGCCACGGAGAAGGTGGCAGAAGCTCTGAGCTGAGCCCCAGGGGCTGCTCAGGTACAATACCTTGGGGATTGATTCATACAAACCGGGTGCCTAAGACATTAACCGACGTCAAAATGGTGTCAATTTATCACATTATAACAGATGCATGAGGTGCCCCAGCCTAAGATCATGGTACAGGGACAACACATATGTAATCACAAGGCTAAAGGGTCAGCACCAAATCTAAGCTCAGCGCAGGAGTTAGGTGGCAGCTGAAATGTTCCACTCACTGTTTACTTCATCAGGTCTGCTTTTTACATATTTACTTTTTTATTAAATTTATTGGGATGTCATTGGTTAATAAAATCACAGAGGTTTCAAGAATACAACTTGAAAATACATCTACTGTATATTGTATTTGTGTTCACTACCCGAAGTCAAATCTCCTGTCTGCTTTTCTAGGATCAGAAAACTCAGGCCTGCCAAGTTACCATGTCTCTCACCTTCGTAAACAAAGCTGGTTAATACTAACTCTCAACATTCACCCTCCAGTAGTTCATAGCAGTCACTGAAACATCCTGCCGTACAAGCCTTTCTCAGTAAAGAGAAGTAATCCTTCCTAAAGCCATAGCTTACGCTGGTCTCATTATTTTCTTTATAATGACTGTACGGAGCCCCGTGGCCTTATCTCAACGTAAGTCAGTTACTGGCTGGCGAATCTCTTGGGATCAACTCATTAATTTTTATTTCAGAAGGTGATGATTCCCGGACCTTGACTACAAATTCTATGGAAACTCTAATTTGAAAGCCACTGTTCTTTGCACAAACAGTACAACCCAGGAAACCACAGGGATCATCAGACTCTATCTGGATGCAGAGAATCGGCACTCCCAGCTCAGACATTAATGGTGACGTTTTGGCTCTGTGCAAGAGAACCCAGTTATTTACATCTTAGGCCACCTCGCCTCACTGAGACAGAAGAAAGAACTCCTGAGATTTGGAAGAGAACTTTGAAATCACCTAGTCCAACCAGCACATTTTATAGATAAGAAACCAATTCCAGGTAGATTAACTGACCTACCTGAGAAATAGAAAAGGACTTTGAAATGACCTCATCCAACCAGCTTTCTTTACAGATAAGGAAACCAACCCTTATACACACAGGAAGGTCACACAGGAAGTACACAGCAGATTTGGGAAGAAACCTGTATCTTTCTATACTGCTACAGAGATGGCATGATCATCCCCAAGCCCCAGTTCTAGAATACTGACCTTGTATAGAAGAGTCACATCTTCTCACCTACAGTTCAACCACCATGATTTTTGAGCAGGAATTGAGGATACACTCAATTACTGCATTTTATTAAATTTAGAACCCCATCTGTATTAGGGTTCTCCAGAGAAACAGAACCAATAGCATGTATGTATGTCTCTATTGCTGTCACTATATTTACGTATTTGTTATAAAGAATTGGCTCCTGTAATGTTGGAGGCTGAGAAATCCCAAGATCTGCAATCAGCAAGCTAGAGACTCAGGAGGGCCGATGGGTAATTCCAGTCCAAGAGATAGGCCTGAGGCCCCTGAAGGACCAGTGTCTCCATCCAATCAAAAAGCAGGGAGAGATGAATGTTTCAGCTCAAGCGCAGGCAGAAAAGGTTCCCCTTTAGCTTTTTTGTTCAATTTAGGTCTTTGATTGGATGAGACCCATTCACATTAGGGAAAGCAGTCTACTTTACTGGATCTACCAATTCAAACATCATTCTCATCCAGAGACACCCTCATAGATAACTCCCAGCGTGCTGTCTGGCCAAATGTCTGGGCACCTTCTGGCTCAGCCAAGTTGACACATAATATCAACCACCACACACCAAGGATTTTAAGATATATCATTATTTCATGTGTCAAAGGAAAGAAAAAAATAACCTGCATAAACCATAGTGAAACATTGAGGCTAAGCTGCCTCCTGACTTCAGAGTATTAAAATGTGTGTGTGTGTGTGTGTGTGGTGGTGGTGGTGGTGGGGAGTCTAAAAATTTTCCAGCCGGGGTGCCTTAGTAGTTGAGCATTGACCCATGAACCAGGAGGTTACAGTTCAATTCCCAGTCAGAGCACAAGTCCCGGTTAATGTCTGTCTGCCTGTCTCTCTCCTTCCCTCAAATCAGTAAAAACATTTTCCCCCCCAAAAAGTCTAAAAATTAAGAAAAATAATGTGGTACTAAACTAGGTTTATTTTACAGGAACCTGAAAAATGTTGCTGCCCCTTTCCCCTCAGCACCACATACAGTACAGCTGTAGTTAAGTTCTGAAAGTAGCTGGTAAACTATTACAGTGACCGAAACAGAAACTTCCCTGTAACAGCTGCAGTATTTATCTCGAAGTTATAATTATGCTAGGGGAAGTTCAGTACATTGTGACTGCTGTCTGTAGATCAAGCATGTCAAACTCGTTTATTGGCCAGCGTTAGACTTTGAGTTTGACATGCTTGCTATAGATTGTAATTACAAAAACCATTAGACAAAGAAAAACTTTTATTTAAAGCACGAAGTTCTTCGAATTTCAGAAGGTACATGCAGAGACCACAGAAGTCCCAAACTCATTACATATGTGTCACTTAAAGACAGAGCCGTGGAGAGTACAGAGTAGCATGGCGACACAGTGTTCATGATGTGTAGGCCTGGGAAGCTCACATAGCTCAGGAACGATGAATTAATTGCATGAGAAAAGAGATATGGATGATGAAGAAACCATTAATTCTTAAGTTCAACTGCAATTACCTTGATTGTACAGGACGATTAACTTTATGGATCAACTTGACTGGGCTAACTGATGACTAAATAACTGGTAAAGCATTATTTCTAGGTGTATCTGTGAGGGTGTCTCTGGGCGAGATTAGCATTAGCATCAGAAAACTGCATAAAAAAGATGGCCCCACAGAGCAGGTGAGCATTACCCAATCCAGATGGGCCTGAGGAGAACAAAAAGGCAGAGTAAGGCCAAATTTATGCTCTGCTAGAAACAGAAGGGAACTTCTTCAACCTGATAAAAGGCATCTACAGAAACCCCAAAGGGGACATTACACTTAATGACAAAACACTGGGTGCTTTCCCCTAGTATAAGGGCAGGTACTAGCCAACGCAGTGGGGTCCAAAATGAAATGAAAGGTATCTAAATTGAAAAGGAAGAGCAAATCTACCTCTATTAGCAAACATGCTCTTAAATACTAAAACATAAACAAACCCTAAGTGATCCACTAAAAAATTATTAAAATAATTTAATAAGCTCAACAAGGTTGCAAGATATAAGACCAATACACAAATACCGTTATCAGTGGGGTCCCTTCTATGTCCCCATCTGTTACTGGTGGAAGTGGGCAGCTTGGGGTGCTGTGGGAACAAGAATTCCCGTAGGCCCCCATGGGCGGATGAGGTACTGTGGAAAGCTTTATTGATGATGTAAGATTAAGGGACTCTTCCTCCGAAGTCCACCTCCCTCTTCCCAACAAGGAAGAAGTCCCATTTTGTCTTCAGCAGAGTGATAATCAAAGCCACTGCCCAGAGCCTGCTCCATGTTTAAGTCCAGTCCAACATCTGGGTGGAGAGCTTGTGTTCCCAGCTGCAGGCCATTGCGTGTGGGTCTGCATGGCCGCGGGCCATGGGCCTTCTAGGGCCACATGGGAGGCCAGCATGAGTCACAGAGCAATGAATTCAAGGGCAAGCAAGCAAGAGGAACAAGATTGAGAAAGTTACTTTGGGATTTTAACTAGGAGCTCAAACAATGAATCCTTTAGGATTCCACACATTTGCAGTGGCTTCACCCCTCTAGCCAGCCCAGGGTTCCCCAGCTCCACTGACAGACGAGCCTCTTCCCTACGCCACTCTGACTTCACTGCCCCTATGCCCGTTCTCCCCTTTGCTGGACACCTTCCTCCAGTGATGTGCGGGGAATGGACTGGTGGTGCCCTGGGGAGTGTGAAACTGCAGCTTCCTCGTGAAGCTGCCCAGATGACCAGGCTTATAATGTCTGGCCTTCCCTTTGCTCCTTCCTGTTATTAATATTAGATAGCTAATTGAGACAGTAACAATATCAATTGCATTCCCATACAATTGGAATGAAAAATTAGAAAATGAAATTAAGCAAATAATTCCATTTATGGTAACATCAATAATTAAAATACTTAGGAATAAACTTAATAAAAGAAGTGTTAATCTTATACTCTGAA